TGCATGTGGTTTTAATGTTAGGTGAGGTGGGTGTGCTAAATAATGTGTCTGTATTAGGTGAAATATGATATGTAAGGTATGTGTGTTATCTACGGGAATGTTATATGTGTAAGGTGAGGTACGTATGCTCGGAAGGTTTGTGTGTTCGGTACGATCTGTAAGTAGTGCATGCGTTCCGTAGTGTGTTATGCAAGATGTTAGGGAAGATTTCATTAAGTATATGCTTGGTATGATTGCTAAATTAGTGTTTTGTAAGGTTTAAGTATGATATTATGCGTTTTATGTGTCTTAGGTGTCTTAAGTGAGGCATGTGTGCTGGGTTCGAATGTTGGCATGCATCCGAAAAGTTTGTTGTGTTACGTATGGTATGTCTGTCAAATAAGGTAAGGGTGAAGTATGCGTTTTTCATTTATTCATTTTTATTATATACATATATTTATATGATATATTATTACTAATATTATAATAATTACTACTGTTATTGTTATTAATTAATTAATTAATAATAATTATTATTATTATTATCATTATAATTATAATAATAATTATTATTATTATTATCACTATTGTTATTATTATTCAGAAATATGTTTAAAATCTCATGCATTTCTGGTTGGAAAGTAATGATTCAGATGTATAAATGTAATCGCAAAAATGGTCGCAAGGGTTTTCTATTTTCTTAATGACTGCATACAAAAATTAGCATATTTTTTACATGCATTATTGTCGATAGCAACAATATGCATGCAAATGTGGATCATAAAATTTTCATGCATTTTAGAATTAAAATAATTGTTGAGCAAAGTTTGAAATTAAATTTTGATTGCACAAAATTAATAACATTTCTTGGCTTGTTTAGGCTTCCATAATATTTCTTGGCTTGTTTAGGCTTCCAAAAAGGCTTTAATTCAAAAAATGTAGTTGTTTTGCTGAGAGGACTCAAAAATGGAGTCGTCGTAAATGTGTATTCTTAAATGCAAATGTAGGATAAAGGTCACTGGGAATAAAAGTCTAATCATGATTACAAATGTTCCCTTGTGTTTATCAGTAATTTTAAATCAAATCTGGGACTAAATTCCAGTTTAAAATTCAACGGTGTATTTACCCAATTCTCATTCACGATCTATTTCTTTTAGTTAGATTATTAGGTTCTAAACTGCTTCGTTGATTTTAAATCTAATTTTATGTTTCAGATTTTCAAAAAAGGCAAAAAATCTCAACAATAATTGATTATTAGTGAGTAATAATTTTACAGTTAAGCAATTAGCAATATCGAAGTGCTAGCTTTAGTTCATCTACACTGTTCTATGATTTCTTTTGTTAAGCAAATTTTTGTCTATCTTTCGTATATCGTTCTACTTGCCCTGTGCGTCCCTATTTCACTTCTTATCTGGTGGATACGACAGAAATTTGACGAAAAATCAGTAGTTGGATATCAGCAGGTATTCAATAACTTAGACCCGATTATATAATTCTATTGAGTAAAGTTAGAGTGTATAATCTTAATCTTATTGAGTACAAGTTATGATATTAATAAGACCAAACTTTATTTATTATTAACATTATACACAAAAACGATAACGAAATAATAATAAAAACTGACAACGATGATTGATATGCTCAGTACTAATATAAGCAACAATTGTAACAACGAAAATAATGATAAATAATAATACTAACATTGTATGTATTATTTCTGATACCACTTATTGGTACTCTAAATAGTCATGTATTGTGATTATCAGATATTTCTATGTTTTACAGTAATGATACTTTGCACAATTACTATATATTAAGGAAATAATACTCAAAACTTTATTGAAACTTAATTGTATAAGAATACAATTACAGCAATAAAAATGCTTTCAAATGTTAGATGATTAAATAGTCGTATTAATTGTTTGCTTATTACGACGTATGTTTAGTCAAATTTATGATAATAAAAAGAATGACACTATGGATGAAAGCATTATAGAGATATTAATAAGAGTAATAAGTGAAAGTGACAGATAAACATAAAATGCTAAAATATATCTGATTAAATTTTGAGCAGATATCTTTTTTTTAAATTTTTTATTGGCATTTTAATTTATATAATTTTTTAATTATTTTTCTATTCAAATGAGAGCAATTTTTCTGCAAAAATTTTGAAAACATTGCTGGGATTTCGATAATTTTATTTTCATAAATCTGAAAATTTGTATGATAAGTTTTAATTTATTGAAACTTAACTGTATAAATGAGGGAATTTTAATATTTTAAAATATATCGCATATTATCATTTCATTTTTAAAATAAATTTTTATAACTTTTAAATATAATTAAATACTTTTAAATAATATATTAATTAATATTCAATGTTATCAATAATAAGGCTCTTATTATTACTTTAGTCATCAATAACTTAACAGCAAATATTATTTCTAAAAATTTGGATAGATTAATTATTAGGCATGCTTGTCATCATCTTACATCCTGAGCAATGGAATGGCGGCTCGGACCGATGCATCATTGGGATGATGAAGCATTTTGTGTCAAAAGGTTATCAGGTCATTTGGTATACAACTATGATTGATAGCTACTGGAACACTGAAATATTCGAAAATGTTGGTTAGTTAGTTTTTATGACTTTTGCGTCCACTATTCAAGTCACTACTACCCCTCTATGATAGGGAACAATTTTTAAAACATTTTGTATAATAAATTTTTGCCAGCATCAGCAATTAATTTCTTATTATAGTTCAATTTTTATATTATTTTATAATAATAATGAAATCAATTTTAATTACTGAAATACTTAAATTGATAAAAAATTTTATTAAACTACTCAATTCTTATCATTTAAATTAGTCTGCTTTTATATCCCACTGATATTTTTAGTTTAATGCATTTTGGATAATTTTAATAACTTGACAAATACTCATGCTCAAAATAATCGGAAATTGAATTAAATTCTTTACAATTTGAAACGCATAAAAGAGTATTCTGCCTGTATTGCTTAAAACCAATAACTGTTTGCTAGTACTGCTCAGAATATTAACACAAAAAATAAAAGTTCCAAATTAAGTTTTATTTTCCAATATTTGTAATTTTAGTATTTAAAAAAGCCTAAAATGATTAATTATTGCTAGTAGTAATAACAGAAATTAATGAAAGAAATAAGAAAGTTTGATTGAATTTATATATAAGAAAAAAATAAGAAAGTTTTGATTTGAAAACATTTTGAAATGCATTCAGAAACAATAAATGAAAACGATAACTTTTTTTTGTGATTACTTAAATGATTGAAATTACTTATTTAATACTGTCTGATTTATCAAATGCTTGTAGTTTTCTGTTTCAAATTTACTCTAAGTTATATTTTCAAGCTAGAGATAGTTGATCATTAAGCTAGAGAGATTTGATCAATTAGACTTTAAAAAGATTTAGTTGTTAGAAATTAAACTGTAATATTTAACATTAGGAATAACTCAATTAAATTTTTGATTATATTTGATGATAAAAATCAAGCAATATTACAGAAATACGAAATGTGCGCTTGCCATTACATCCAGGTGATTGGTGGACTCAAAATGTGGTACTTGCTTGGCGATTAATATTTTCTGGGCTTGAGCCCGATCTTATCGTGATTGATCACAGTGCAAGGTAACTATATATGTATATAAAAATCAAAATTTGATCATTCTTTAATTGTCAATTTTTTAATTTGAATCCGAGCCGTTGTCCATAATTTATTCTGGACGGCTCGGATTCAAATATAGCAAAATTACTAATATAGCAAAATTAATGCAGTCAAAAAATAATTGACCACTCATAGAATTCAAATGTGGTCATATTGAGAATTTTTAATTTTTGAACAGAACAGTACTTGACTAACAAATTTTTGATGGATAAAATTCAAAAAACGTTATGGTACAAATAATTTGTAGTTGTTTACCGGTACTGAAATGGCGATTTCCTCGAGTAAAAATTTTATTTTACTGTCATTTTCCACAACAACTTGTGGCACCAACTAGATTTTTTCTGTACCGTTGGTACTCACATCTAATCAGTATAATGGAAAGTTTTCTCTTCCAAAGTGCTGATGTAATTATGGTCAACAGTAATTTTACAAGTATAACTTTTATTTTTTTTGCTTTTATGTTAGCTTATTAGATTATAAAAAGATTTTATTTCAGCAAAAAAGACTTAACATAAAACTGACCAGTGACTTTAATTTTTTAGCTAATAGTTTTTTGAATTTTATTAACAAATTTGTTTTTACTGAAAAAC